GGGGTTGGGGATGGGTGCGTGGGGGGTGCGATGGTGGTGGTGAAGAGGGGATTGCTGGTAATGGGGGTCATTGGAGAGGTGGGTGCTGTGGGGAAAGGACAGGTTTGGAGGGGTCCAGGGGGAATATTTTCCCAGTGTGGGGATAGAGAAGGTAGGTTTGGGGGGACCAGGGATTTAGCAAAAGGAGTGCGGGTAGTGGGGATTATTACGGAGCAGAAGTGAGGTTGGGTATGGCAGCCTGTGGAGTGGGATTGCTGGTAATGGGGGTCATTGGAGAGGTGGGTGCTGTGGGGAAAGGACAGGTTTGGAGGGGTCCAGGGGGAATATTTTCCCAGTGTGGGGATAGAGAAGGTAGGTTTGGGGGGACCAGGGATTTAGCAAAAGGAGTGCGGGTAGTGGGGATTATTACGGAGCAGAAGTGAGGTTGGGTATGGCAGCCTGTGGAGTTTGTGTGGGCTTGGAAGAACCTTAGTAGCTTTCTTTGCTGTCTCTTGGGACAGGTTACTCGGTGTAATGATGGCAGCTCAGGACTCACACCTGCCTGAGCCCTTCACTAAAATAAAAGGTGCTGAAAGAATCTGGGACAGAGCAAGAGAAGATGATGGCGGGGACAGGCTACCTTGGGTGAAGGAAAGAAACAGCATCTGTGACCCAGATGTTGAAGTCCTGAATGGAGCCCCTCCAGCCAAAGCCCTAGAAGGAGGAAGAAACTTGGAATTGTCCCCCTCTCTAATACAGAGTGAAAAGCATTTGATAATGCTGCAAACTGTGCGTTTGAAGGAAGGGGAAGAAGATCTCCAGGCAGTCAGTCAGTTGAATATTCAGCAGCAAAGTGGGTTGCACATGGTAGTACAACGAGGGGCAAGTGTCTTGCAGCCCTTGGTGGTAGTGCAACAGGGAGTAGGTGCTCAGCAGAATATACCCACAGGTGTGGCAATAAGTTTGCAGGATGGTGTTTATACATTTCATGACATGGAGGTGATGCAGATAAATGTTTTGCAAGAAAAAGTACAGGCAAAAGATGAAGAAAACAAATCAATGGATAAATCCCCAGGAATGCTACTGATTAAGGTAGAGATACCATCAATGAAAATGTGGAGATGGTAGCCTTTGCTCTGTAGTGCCATAATGGCAGATTTAAAACTAATACCCAGTTTAAAAACATACAAATGAAAAATAAAAAATTGTGGCTGTGACTTTTTAAACAAAGAAATTTAGAATATGAATCCCTTAAGCAATTTTTTTTTAATCTCAGCCTATATTATTAAAAAGCAATCTTTCCTATATGCATTACCAACAGCTTAGCAAAACTAAAATAATGTTTTAAATATATTTTTTTCCTTTCTACATTTGCATTTCAGTTCACTAAGATGTCCATAAGTACACTGGATGGAGGCTTCCTTTCCTAGTATTCATGCATCAGTAGAATACTGTTGTTTTGGGTGTGAAAGTTGTAATTTTAAAGCCAAACAAAATCAGTTTTCACTTAGCACAATCTACTTCAATAGTTCATGGCAACATTGGCATTGCTATAGATATTTGGTTTTGAAAATTTTGGTACAAAACTTGAATGTTGGGCTTAAAATACTAGGCATTCCGTTCAGGAGATGATGCATGATATTTTGTAGTTTTAGGGGAACAGTAATGATTGCACTGAATACTAAAACCTATTTAGTTAACTAAAATTAAGTAACACTATCTTAGTAACTGCTACATAATATGGAATTAATACAGAGCATTTACAGATATAATGCATCAATCATATATAACTTTTAAAAAATGATAAATTACATTTTCCCTTTTTTTTACTTTAAAAATTAGTCCCCAAGAATCTGAAAAATTCTGTCAAAATAAGTTGAAAATATAAATCTTTATAATCTAATTGTTTAGTCTTAAAAAGAAGGTCTAAAATTTTAAATCTGCAAATTTTCAGGGCAAAATTTTAAAAATTGTTCAGGGTTCAAAAGCTCCCATTTAGGAACCTTACATAAAAGTGTTAATTTTTCGGAAGTGTTCAACATCCAGCATTTCCCACTGAGAACAATCGAGCTGCTGATTTATTTTGAAAGTCTGTCCACTCAATTAGATGCCGAAATGGGCTCTTTTGAAAATAGGCCCGTAATTGTGGGTGCTGAGCACTTGAAAATTGTATGTCCCAAAGCCTGTTACCTTTGAAGTATATGCCAAACCTCATGGATTCTGCAAGCCCCAAATACAACCCCTGCAGATTATGTACCAAATAATTAGCTGTAAATGAGAATAAATTGGTAAACTGTATTATGTTTGCTGGTGCAGGTAGCCTTTGCAGCTTTGTCACAAGCATGGTTGTGTTGAGACCATTTTCTTCTTCCTGAAGTGTAAACCTGTTTTATTTTTAAACTAGATTGATAGAACTAAAGATCTACATGCAGTTGAAGGTAAGGTCCAGCAACTGCTTCCAAATGAAGAGGGAAAAGAAGAGGACACTTTCACTGCTGAGAATGCAGAGATCTTGAGCTGTACAGCCAAAGATGATATATCAGTGTCTCTCAATGAACCCAAAGAGCAAGGAGAACAATCAGTTGTAAAAAAAACTGACACTCTAGAAGCTCACACAAACACACAGCATAGGAAAAAAGGTAAAAAGATGATTATGCATTATTTGTAGTTCACGTTTAGAATGTAACAGCCATGCAGGGGTGAGAGCAAAGGTCCATGTAATCCATCCTGTCTTCTGACAGTGGCAATGCCAAGTGCCCAGAGGGAAAGAACAGAACAAGTAATCGAGTGATCCATCCTGTCGCCCATTCTTATCTTGTGGCACATAGTAGCATAGAAAACAGATTGAAGTCCTAGGAGTAAATTTCCACACTATGGTTAGATTAAGTTAAGGTTAGACCTATTACTGAAATGTGGAAGAATGAATAACTCCTTCTGATCTTACCTGATGAGAATTTTTTTATCCATGTGATGACACTGTAAAGTTTCAAGAGAGATTCTCGAGATTACTTCCTCAGTCATTCTCAGTTTGAGTAATTTGGGAGTATATGAAACCTGGCTCCATAGCTAAGATTCCATTGAGTTTTTCACTTAATGTTGAGTGTAAATACTTCATAAGTAAACATGAAGTGTTGTAAAATCACTCTCAGGTTTGTACTCTTTAGAGCCTTGTTGGTAATCTTAATATCTAAAGTAATTATATTCTGAAATCCTAAACTTATTACTTTTTCAGTCTTCTATAACACCGCAAACTCAAAAGGTGAGAAAAAACTCAATTTGTGATTGCACTCAGTGCTTTACAAAGTATAAGCCCAAAATAAGGTAACTCATGGTGAAGGAAAGTACAGAAAGGTATTGTTCATTATAATACATCTGGGACTTTTTAAATTTGCTTTTGTTTTGCTATGGAGGCTGATGGAGCTCTGGCTCTTCATAGAGAACTCCCATTCTTTGAGTCTCCCTTCTTGATTCCCCTATTGAACCTGGCTTCTCTGTTAACGAGTGTCCTGCTAGTTCCCCTTCTATAGTACCAGCCCCTTATACTAGCTGCTTCTGTTCCTCCAGTCTGCTCTCATCCTTGTCTTCACTTTCAGCTTTCAGGGTGTAATAATGGGAGTTCCAAGTTCAACAGACCTGGTAAGGTTTGCTAGAGTAGACCTTCTGTCTGGTGAGCCGTAGGAGTTTGCCAGGTAGGAAAGCAGTCTGTAATAGTGGCAGACTTCATGTACCCCTGCCACCATGGCTCAGTCCTTAACAGAAAGAAAGGGAGGTTTGCAGTAGAAATGTTAAAATGTGTTTGATTATGTAATCGTGTAGCTGCGTACTGGCTCCCACTCCCCCCTACCCCCGCCGTGCTGCTGCCTCTGATACAGCATGGGGGGAGGGCAGGCCGCTCCATGAGAGCTGGTGCATGCGGGGATCTGGCTTTTAAGGGGGCTGCGTGTAACTGCACATTAACATGTCTATGATTACACTTTCACATCCCTAGTATACAGGGGAAAACAGTATCAGCACAAGCAATATAGGGTGCAGGAGTTTGGGGCAGGCAGACAGACAAAATGGTCTTAGAAGCAAAGTTCCTACTCTGGCTGATGTACTGAAATAAGGTGGAGCCCTGATATAATTGTTCTTACTAGCTATGCGAGGCAATGTCTCTTTGTGGCCAAACTTACAAGGTTTGCAGGAGGTTTGGGAGGAGCCTATGTGTGATTTCACAAAGCAGTTTTTTTTGTGGCTATGAACTGATGAGTAAAATAATGATAAAGTACTTTTGTTTGTTATTCATTGCAATAAGTACTAGCTACACGTTCTGATATAAGCACATGAATGCTGTAGGAATATTTGGCTGCAACATGAATGATCATTGTAGGTCAACTCTACCCACACCCGAGACAATGATTCCAGGAAAGCTGTTCATATATTGTCATTTGGCAACTCTGAATCTGCTTGAAAGCGGAAAATGTTCCACATTTCCTCAATTTATTTTCTAAAGAAATTCATTATTTCTATTGTGTGAGTTTGCAGGTGTTACATAATCATCCTGGAGTATAATTCTCTTTGACCATTTAGGAACCAACATTCTGCAGCATTTGCATTCTTGAAGTTGAAGCAATAGTTTAAGAGGCTTTAAACTATAATAGCTTTTGTCTATACTGTACTTAGTATTTTCAAGCCTCTGATTATGTGGAGAATTTCATAATTAATCTGCCATTTTTAGGCTTTTATGTAAGTGTAAGAGGTTGTCTCACTAGTTAATGAAGCTAACATTAGAGGCAAACTCCACAGGATATAAGCATCTAGATGAGCTAAATGTTAAAGACACTGTCAAGGGAGGAAGGATTATCCATTGGTGTGAATTCAACTAAGAGTCGTGCCTCTTGGATTTTGTTCCCAACTGCACCATAACTGAGTGTATGGTTTTAGATGAATCACTAAACTCTTTTTATAATGGGTATAATAATACCTTTCTGACAGTCTTAATTTTTGTAAAGCACTTTGAGGTACTCTTAAGACACTCTAGAAGTACAAGGTATTATTACTTAATTTAGTAGGCTTAGTTAGGAAATTGGGACTATTCTTGAAGTCAAGTAATTGTTTTGTAGCTCATATGACCTAAATATGTCTTTATTCTCATAGGGGAAAAGGTGACCATCCATTGTGATCTGTGTGCATTCACCTCTCTTAGAATGTCAAGTCTTAATCGTCACATGAAAACCCATTCTGATGAAAAACCCCATTTGTGTCACCTCTGTCTTAAGGCTTTCCGTACAGTTACACTCCTGCGTAATCACGTGAATACACATACAGGTACACTTAGTGTGTAAAAACATGCTCCTTTTTCTTGGTGTCTACCAGATGTAACTGGTTTTGAAATGTTCTTGTCTTCTGCCATCAGTCTGCACTGAAAACCCCCATAATGTAGAACAGTGACACGACATGTCTTTAGAGAGTGTGTGTGTAATATATAAAAATATTCAAGAGAACCATCCTCAAGGTAAAATGAATTAAAATATAAAATAGGTATGTAATACATAAACTTTGCATTTATAATACAAATACTTTAAATCCATAAATATTGTTAAAACTTTTCATATCATTTTTTGATATTCAAATTATTTTCATTTGTGTAAATGCTGACTTACTGCTGAGAAATTACACAGATACACTTTTTAAAAAATATTCTAAAAATTTGTTCTTACAGGGACAAGACCATATAAGTGCAGTGACTGTGAGATGGCATTTGTGACCAGTGGTGAGCTTGCACGACACAGGAGATATAAGCACACTCTAGAAAAACCCTTTAAGTGCTCAGTGTGTAAATATTCTAGTGTAGAAGTAAGTGCAGAACTACTAAAGCTATTGAGGGGGGTAAAAGAGCTTATGTTTTCAAATACAAAAGCCTGATTGTCTGTGAATTCAGTAGGTTTTTACACAAATACATAAAAATTCTGAGCACAAGTGCTTAAAGTATTGAGACCTAATGGCACACCTTCATATTGGCTTTATTGAACTTGTGGCAGAGAGACAGATCAGTAAATTATATATGTAGCTGCATAAGTTAAGCTACAGTATTGACACTGTTGTTTTGGTGAAATTGTCTTTCATGCAAAGGTCTTCTGTATTGCTGTTTCCACCCTATTTATACCCCATTACTTCCTTCCACAGAAGAGGAGTGGCCATGCTGGCAGCTGCTTAAGTCCCTACATGCCACAGAGGGCTCTACATTGATCCCATAGGGCATGTGTAAGCAGAAGGAGATTTTGGATCTCCTGATTCAGTGTCCCATAAACTTGTTCAAAAGCTTCAGAGGAGTAGCTTTTTTGCCCAGGAAAGTTCATGATACCATCTACATGTTTTGTTAGTCTTTAAGGTGCTAGTCGTTTTTTTTTTTTTTTTTAAGTTTTTCCATAAACTCATGTAATGGCTCTGAAGGTAATGAGCACAAAGGGCTGCGTTTGCAGCTCCAAGATCCAAGCCAAACGTTGGGGGAGTGAATTCCATCCCTCCACCTCCAGGTACCTTCATAGAGCCCAATTAACATTTTCAGAAGTAAAGGATGAATTTCATTATTTATGATGAAGCCTTTTAAAAAGTAAAGAAGACATTGATTCAAAATCCTCACCTTCGTAGCTTGTGTACTCATTCTTCTGTGTGAACTTGTACACTTACTAAATTAATATTTACTGTGGTTATCAAACATCCATTTTGTTTTTAATATTTTTCTAGTTATTATCCAACAGTAAAATGGCTGCTGCATGATTAGTTTACAGTGATCCTGGTCCTGGAAACAGGCACTTTTTTAACTTTATGCCTATGACTAGGCATGTTAATAGTAGCAGGGACTGCTAATGAGTAAAATTAACCACTTGCTTTGTGTTTACGGAATTGACATTTACATTGCAGTTCTGGGTCAGATATAATAAAAACTGAAAAAAAAAAACTGGAAAATGTCCAAGGTTCACATGGAATAATAAGTATTCAGTCATGCACTTACATTTATTTGTGTGCACATTATGTTGTGTTAGTAGATTTTGAATAGTATTTTATATTTTTAAAAATCAATTTAGATGTATTCTATTATTTTTTAAGTAAGAGTCTTAGTCACTTTTTGCTACTGAGACTTCATATTGAAGTAGCTGAGAGTTTTGCTTGAGTGAGTCCTGAAGAAGTCCTTAGTTTGTGCTGTGTATTGCATACTTACTATTGTGCAGTAAGACTTAGATGCAGCACAGACTTAAGCACACCTGTGATTTTTACTTGAGTAGTGACCTTGAATGGGGCTATGAATGTGTTAAATAAGCATGTGTATAAATCTTTGCCAGATTGAGGCTAATATGGCAATCAGAAACTTTTTAGTATTGGCTTTTCCATTTTTTCTCTATATTTTCAGTTTTTTCTTTGGCTGGTGTTTTCACAGCTACCTAATGGGGATAGATGCCCTCATTAAGCTATTTTGAGAATCCCACCTTTGAACATTTTATAGAGGTGTGCCCGGGGCCAGTTTCACTGTTCCCTCTATAGAGTCAGGTTCCCCTTTTGTTTGTGCAGGTTTTGTGTGGTAATGTTAAAAATACCCCTACAAATTGTGATTGCAAATCCAGTAAAATTGAAGTCTCAGGGGGATAGCTTTGTTAGTCTTTAACTTTAAAAACAAAAAGTAGTCCTGGGTACCTTAGAGACTAACTAACTAAACTGACACTAATATCATCTGATTAAGTGGGCTTTACCAATGAAAGCTCATGATTCTATACCTTTATTACTTTCTAAGGACTTGTCTACACTACGGTGAAGATCAGCCCTCCAGAATTTGGCATTTGAATTAACGGGTCTAGTGAAAGACCTGTCAGTTTGAACTGCGAGCACTCCCATTAGCACTGGTAGTCCTGCTCCTCGCAAGGAGTAAGGGAAGGCTGTCAACCTCCCACTGTGGATGGTCGGAAAACACGATTTAAGAAATGTCAACTTAGCTACTGTGTAATCAATGTAGCTTGAGTTAGGTATCTTAAGTCGATTTTCCTCTTTAGTGTAGACCACAGGACTACTCATTTTTAAAGTAAAATTGAAGAGTGTTTTAATAACTGATGTAGAACTTGAAATTGGTACACAGTTTCTGTAAAATGGGTTAGATTGTAAGTTGACAGTGTTCCTTTAATATGGGTGGTGTTGAAATACATTTTTAACTTTTACACTAGGCAAGCAAATTGAAGCGTCACATTCGTTCGCATACAGGAGAGCGTCCTTATAACTGTTGTCTCTGTAGTTATGCTAGCAAAGATACTTATAAACTGAAAAGACACATGGTTACCCATTCAGGTAAGACTAAAGTAATGGTTAATTATGTATAGGACCTTATTTTTAAAACTGGCCTCTGTTCAGCCTCTGAAATTGCTTCTTCAGTTTTACATAGACAGTTTTTCACTTTTGTTTTGTGTGTGCACAAAAACAAACATGGAAAAATGTTTCTGTAAAATTATTTGGTCTTTTTTAATAAAAAACACTTTTGAAAATTTGGCCTATCAGATTATGGTACTTTTTAAAATTGTGTTCATTTTGTTTAAAGTGACATTTACTTATATGAAAGAAAATGTTCAGTGTCCTCACGTGTTTGCTCTACTTTTCAGTTTTGTGTCATGCCTAATTAAATTTACATGGCATGTATCGAATGGGAGAATTTTAAAAAGAAATCACTGTCCCAAAATATGATCCTGACTGTGACACATATGTTTCCAAAAAATACAATTCTCTTGTGTAAATTATTTTGACAAATGAATAATTGCAAGTCCTGTAATTATAATTGGCACTATTCTAATATTTATGGCAAAATAACAAAAGTAATTTAGTCCTACTGTGCTGTCCTATGTGCTCATGGAATTCCCCTTGTGAAGAGACCTACATTACAAAGTCTGCACACGAACAGAATTTAACCCAATTTAGTGTTAGAATTATAAGGCTAGGAGAGACCTCAAGACATCATCGAGTTCAGCCTTCTGCCCAAAGCAGGACCAATCTAAATCATCAGTTAGCAATTGTGCATTTTAATGAATTAAACACAGCATATGTAGAGCTTCTGAGCATATATTAATATCTAACTTATGCTTTTTTCGTAGGAGAAAAACCCTATGAATGTTATGTTTGTCAGGCCAGATTTACACAAAGTGGTACAATGAAAATCCATATATTACAAAAGCATAGTGAAAATGTGCCCAGATACCAGTGTCCACATTGTAATGCATTTATTGCAAGAAAAAGTGATTTGGGTAAGTTTGGTCTTAAGAAAAAATAGAATGCAAATACAATAGGAAATGTGATATATTTTCTTATTGTTCATAAGTCTATAAAATATTCTTTGACTTATTTTTATCATTGAAGTATTCCTAGGGAAAAATATTTATTAATTTCTTCTGCTGTGGGGATGAGGTGCCATCTTGTGGTTGCTATAGATGGGTAGATTGGTACAGTTACAATGCTCCAGTCCAGATAAAGGATTAATATTTCCAAGATTTTACTATTAGTGGCATTAAGAGAATCCATTTTCCAGAGTGACAGCTATAATAAAAAATCTAGGCCACAAATTCTTTTCTGCATCGAGTGGAAACTCAGTGTGGCAGAAGGAGCAGATCTGATGGGACTGTTTCAGCTCCAGCATGAAATGAAAGTGGTATCAAACCAGAAATTAGAGGAGCTGGGAATATACTGAATGCTTTAATACACTCAAATCCTTGCATCTAAAATATCAGCATTTACATTTTTATTTGTCCTTGAATGTTTTTTTTTTAATCTTGTGAATTGTGGAGCATTTCACTAACAGGACTTCAAATTGCATTAATAATCAATTCATAAAGTGCATGTTTTCATCTTGCTTTTATCTATGTTTAGCAGACAATATTTCTTGTATATAACTTCTAAATTCAATTAAGTGGTTGTAGCAGACCTATTTTCAGGTTTTGTAAGATTTGTGAGACATGGAATATGTTGGTATACAATAAATAGAAATAACCTTTAACTCTTTGGGTCTGTTCCCATCAAGCAGAAAGCTATCCACTATATTCTGATGTAGACACCAAAATGTTTATACAATTCATGGATTTTTTTCTCACCTGCAAATAATATTATAATAGTACTGGTCTTTATGCAATTTTATGCTTAAAATATCATAAATTATCATAAATATTATAAGATTAAATTTTCAGTATGCAAACCACTATATTGGAAATGCAAACCCACATTAATTTCCAAGAGAATATCTTAACGAAGAAACAATACTTCATTCACATGTTAATAAAATTGTCTAAATCCATATAGTTCATTTGTAAATTATGTTTTAGTCATATAAATATCTCTTAGAAATCAGATTTTCATTAACAACCCACCATATTAGAAATACAACCTCTTTGTATAACTGAGTCAATATAACTAACAGGTTCCAACCAAATTCATACAGAAAGACCAAGATTTTCAAACTAGGAACCTAAAGTTAGGGTCTTAAATGGATACTTAAGTGCCAGCCTGATTTTCAAAAGTGTTGATCATCCAAAAGCTTCACTTGTGGTCAGTACTGAATATTTATTCAGCTTCTTGTAGAAAGTCGCAGGCATTCATCACAAGTATTATATATACAGGTGTGGCTTGATTAAATGATGGTTTACTACAGTGATCTTTTGCTTGAATGAGGTGAGTTGTTGCACCAGATTTGTAAAGGTGTTTAGGTCCTAAATGTAGACACCTAGGCACATTTGGAAAACCCATTACACACCTAATTCAAATTGAAATAAATATTTACTCAAAATAGGAATACAATAGGGTGTTTACTTTATGCAATTTGTCTCTGTTCAAAGATTATCACCCAATAAGCACCTATTAACTGTCAAAAAGTCCACATATAATACAGGTACCACATTACAATAAATATAATTTTGGGCCAGATTGTCAAAGAAATTAGGGGCTTAAAGATACAGAATGATTTCAATGGGAGGTAGGTGCCTAAATTGCTTAGGTGCTTTTGCGTCCCACTACATGCCTAAACACCTTTTAAAAATCTGGTCCTTTGTGCCACTTCCCCATAGATTGTTTGTAGTCTGGTTTTTGGCTCCTATATAGAGCTAGTAAGAGGCTTAGAAGGTGTCTTGTCTGCTTGCTTTCATGCCCACCCCAACATATACTCATTTAGGGCAATGTTCAGAATAGCCTTTTATCTGAAACAATGGACATCCAAAAATCCATTTTCATGACCACAGTTTTTGAGTGTAATGATCTGTAAAACTGTTTTAGGCGTCCACTTACGAAACCTGCATTCCTACCTGGCTGTGGCAATGAAGTGCAGTTATTGTGAAGCTGTTTTCCATGAGCGCTATGCTCTTATTCAGCACAAGAAAACCCATAGAAATGAAAAGCGATTCAAATGTGATCGATGCAGTTATGCATGCAAGCAGGTATTTAAATTTAATTGGAGTATGACTGTTCAGTTTACATTTCTGTGGGGTAAGCTTTGCTTTGGGAATATATTTTCTTTGATCATAAAGTTATTTGTTAGTTACCACAATCTACCTAAAATACTGTAATTATAGTTACTTGGAAGATAACTGGTTGATGAATAAATAAATAATAATAATAAATAAATAATCTTAAATTTGCTCATGAAAAAATAGTCATACATGATCTGTTCAAAAGTAGAAAGTAAAAGCAGTTATGTTCACTGGAAACATTGTGATGAGAACATAATATGGTATTTGCATCTTATTTGTCGTTTTCAATATTAAGGATGTTAAGGACTAGTCGATCTCTTCCCCCACTCCCTTTCTGCCTCTATCAAATAGAGGCAGCAAAGAAGTGGAGGAAGAGAGGGTACTTCAAAGTGGCAGCACCGCACAGAGCCTGTACCTGGGCTCTATGCAGTGCTGCCCCTTTGAAAGCCAGGGTGGCATTTCAAAGGGGTAGCACTGCACAGCTGATCCCAGGCTCTGTGCGGCGCTGCGCCTTTGAAATGCCACTGCGGCATTTCAAAGTGGCAACGCTACATGGAGCCCATGGTCAGCTGGGGACTCCCTAGATGACCTTGTGCTCCCTCTGGCAGTTCCGTGGAACCCGGAGTCAGCTGGGGAGTCCCCAGCTGATCCTGGGCTCCGTGCAGCACTGCTGCTTTGAAATGCTGAGCAGAGCCTAGGATCAGCTGGGGATTCCCCAGCTGATCCCAGGCTCCAGCGCAGCCTTTCAAAGCACTCAGAGTCTGGGGTTAGCTGGGGAGTCCTCAGCTGATCCAGGGTTGCAGGGAATGCTGTGCTGAGCCTGGGGTCAGCTGGGGAGTTGCCAGCTGGGGCTCTTGTACATTTTAAAGGAGGAATGCAGAAGTGCCTATCGACTAGTCTAGTAGTCGGTGGAAGTTCCTTATTCAACAGGCACAGAATAGTGTTTTTCAGTCTGAACCGGCATTTATATAATACAAATAACAATATTCTATAAAAGTAGTTTGGAAAGCATGCAATATAAAATGTAAAGAAAGACTAGATTCCCAGAGTATGTTACCTTTCATTGGAAGTAATTTGACATAGGATTCTCTATGTCTTGCCTAATTTAGGTTCAGTATTTACATGTTTAATAGAGACAACTCTTTAGAAACTTCATTACACAGTTTTGTTCATACTCTCAAAAAGCTTGGTCCTATTTATCTGGCCTTGATTGAAATAAATTTCTTAATCGATCTGTTGCCACCTGAATGTGTTTCTACATTTTTCTGTCTCATACCTATTCTAGAAGGAATTTTTATATATCTTAAAAAGCAAGAATTAAATCATACTATATGTTTCTTAAGTTTTTTGCTGTATCAATAATATACGGAAGCATATTTATCCTAATGTATAACCTTATAGTCTGTTTCAATCCTGGATGTTGTGGCTAAAGAGTTACATACACTAGATAAATCATTTTACATTATATTTCAACCGAAAGACAAACTTTTATTGCTGAATACTCTGATTAGAGAATTATGTTCAGTCCATCCATGATGAATTTTCATCCTCTTGGGATGTATTTAAAAAGATTGAACTATTTGGTCACGCTCTATAGAACATTTGTGTGTTCATGACAGTTTATTAACCCAGTTATTATCTTTGTATTAACATTGTATGTACTATAAGAGGGGTGGACAATAATTTTTATTGGGAGCCACTTCAAGAATTTGGTAAGTGGTCAAGGGCCATACACTTCCATTATATTAATGGAGGAGATAGGGGGTCTGAGATGGAAGTTAGATGCAGAAGGTAGTTTGGGATAAGGGATTGGGGTGCAGGAGGGAGTGTGGGATCTAAGAGGGAGTTTGGGTGAAGGAGGTCATTGTGACCTGGGGCAGGGGACGATGGTGCAGCATCCAGGAGGGAATATGCGTACAGGAGAGGATTCTGACCTGGAGGGGGTACAGTGTCTGGGAGAGGGTTGTTGTGACTGGGACAGGTGTGCAGGGATTTGGATTGTGACGGGGCAGGGGATTGGGATGCAGGGTCTGTGAAGCAGAATGGGTTCACGAATGGGGGTGCAGAGAATTTGAATTATGTGGTATAGTGGTGCAGGATGGGGAGCAGAAGGTTGGGGGGAGGAAGAGGCTGTGGTTCAAGAGGCAGGCTCTTGCCGGGAGATACTTAGCTGGGTGGCTGCAGCCTAGCAGGTTCCTCAGCCAGGCTCCTGGTGTCTGACCTGACCAAAGGGACCTGCGAGATTGTGTTGGTGGCAGGGGCAGCGCATGAACCCTTTCTCCTCTCTCTCTAGGCTTGCAGCATAACACACAGCCATCACAGGGGCTTCGCTGAGCAGCGTGCAGCGGCAGGATAGCCAGGGAGCATAGCTGAGGCTCCCGCTAGGCTGTGGGCTGGATCTGGTGGTTTGACAGGCTGGATTCGGCCCACAGGCTATTTTTTGCCCACCCCTGTACTATACATTAGCACGGTTAAAATCTTCACGTGCCAAAAGGATAAACATGTTTATCTAAAAAACCTCTCATATAGAACACATGCGAGTCTTTCATTGATACTCCTGTTCCAAGTGTTTTTAGGACTGTTGTTGGAAAAGTTAGAAAATTTAAAATTTTGCCTTTTTTGATTTTTATAAAGATTTGAGGAAAATACACTAAAATATAGAGAGAAGATAACTAAATATGGATAATAGGCATGGATTCTTAAACAAGCATTCTCGGTAGTAGAAAGTGATATTTAACATTTTAGGCTGGTTATATATACTTTTTAAAGCTGGACTTTTAAGTCTGTTAAAACATGTATTGTTTTACCTTGCCATTGCTCCCATAAACTGGGTAACAAAATGTAAAACACTGAAAGCTCAGTAAAATGGTTTTCACTTGTGTTGTTTATCACTGCCAGTTTACTAATTTTAAACAATTTCTGATTAATTAAAAAACTTTGCCCTCTGAACACACAGTTTGTCAAGGGAAAGGAGGGCACAGGCATTCTCTTAAGTAGTCAGCTGTCCACTTGTATAGTCTTGAGAAAAGAGAGCAGGAGGCAAGCTAGATCTTGAAGAGGATTCTTTACACATCTGAGGTTGCTACTGTTTTTCAAAACTGCAGTGTGCAGGTGTGCTTTCTCTATAGGCAGCATCTTCTACCCTGTCCGATACTGTTATTTATCATTCTCAGTGTTAATTAAATAGGCCCTCATGTGCTAGCATAGACTGTTCCTTTATTGAGAACTATTTCCTTCAGTGCTTCTCCAGGTGCATACAAAGATCCATATCAGTAGACATGACTTTCCAATGGACAATAGAAGACAAAGTCTTAAAAACCCACCAATTCTTGGAAATAACTGTTTTGATTTTTTTTTTAAGTTTTAACTTGTTCTCTCATTTTTTGTGAAAAATTTTGTTTCAACCATTCTTTCAATCACTTTACTATAAAGTAATTGACATACTCTTTTTTTAATGTTCTGGTAAAGTGAAAATACAAACTAAACCTCATCCCTAATGTCTTTTTCAGGGATCACTATTCTCTAAGTGATATTAAACATGGGCTAAAATTCAGGTCCATTCAAGTCAGTGGAAGTTTTGCCATTGACTTCAGTAGAAGTAAGATTTTACCCTACATGTTCTTCAGTAGTTGTGCTCTGTGAGAAAATTAAGGAAACTATGCAGCATTCTTGAACTCTAGTTTTATTGATTCTCACAAAAATATAGTTGTTTTAAAAATTGTTTTCTTCATTTCAGGAACGACACTTGATTGTGCATAAGCGTACACATACTGGTGAGAAACCCTTCACTTGTGTATCTTGCAGCAAATGCTTCCGGCAGAAGCAGCTTCTAACTGTTCATTTTAGGAAACACCATGATTCCAATTTTAAACCAACAGTTTATGAATGCCCTAAGTGTGGCAAGGGCTATTCACGCTGGGTAAGATACTATATTTTGAGGAACCTCAGTGGTGATATCTTCAGTTAAGTGCTACATACATTCTTTGGTAGGATAACGAGTCTTGTGGATAACAGAGAAGCGGTGGATGTGGTATACCTAGACTTTAGTACGGCATTTGATACAGTCTCACATGATATTCTTTCCAATAAACTAGGCAAATACAACTTAGATGGGGCTGCTATAAGGTGGGTGCATAACTGGCTGAATAACCGTACTCAGAGAGTAGTTATTAATGGTTCACAATCCTGCTGGAAAGGTATAACGAGGGGTTCTGCAGGGGTCTGTTTTGGGACCAGCTGTGTTCAATATCTTCATCAACGATTTAGATATTGGCATAGAAAGTACACTTATTAAGTTTGCAGATGATACCAAGCTGGGAGGGGTTGCGACTGCTCTGGAGGAAAGGGTCATAATTCAAAATGATTTGGACAAATTGGAGAAATGGTCTGAGGTAAACAGGATGAAGTTTAATAAAGACAAATGCAAAGTGCTCCACATACAGGATGATAAGCGACTGTCTAGGAATGAGTACGGCAGAAAGGGATCTAGGGGTTATAGTGGACCACAAGCTGAGTATGAGTCAGCAGTGATGCTGTTGCAAAAAAAGCAAACATGATTCTGGGATGCATTAACAGGTGTGTTGTGAGCAAAACATGAGAAGTCATTCTTCCGCTCTACTCTGCGCTGGTTAGGCCTCAGTTGGAGTATTGTGTCTAGTTCTGGGTACCGCATTTCAAGAAAGACGTGGAGAAATTGGAGAGGGTCCAGAGAAGAGCAGCAAGAATGATTACAGGGCTAGAGAACATGACCTGTGAAGGAAGGCTGAAAGAATTGGGTTTGTTTAGTTTAGAAAAGAGAAGACGGGGGGGGGGGGGGGGGGACATGATAGCGTTTTCAGATATCTAAAAGGGTATCATAAGGAAGAGGGAGAAAACTTGTTCATCTTGGCCTCTGAGGATAGAACAAGAAGCAATGGGCTTAAACTGCAGCAAGGGAGGTTTAGGTTGGACATTAGGAAAAAGTTCCTAACTGTCAGGTTAGTCAAACACTGGAATAAATTGCCCAGGGAGGTTGTGGAATCCCCATCTCTGGAGATATTTAAGAGTAGGTTAGATAAATGGCTATCAGGGATGGTCTAGATAGTATTTGGTTCGGCCATGGGGGCAGGGGACTGGACTCGATGACCTCTCGAGGTCCCTTCCAGTCCTAGTGTTCTATGATTCTATGATATCACATTGTTATAAAGCAATAGGCTTTTCCCAGATCTCAAATCAAAGGATTAATATGTCTGATAATTTGTCCCGTGTTTGCTTCAGGAATTATTGGTAAATGCCATTTGGGAATTAAGAAGATTGAAAGCGCAAACATTCTAGTGATAAGAAAATAAGAGGAAACAAATGTTAATGTCTGGAAAGTATCCTGGATAGGTACCAAAAGACAAATAGAAAAAACTGAGAAAATATCTAAAGTAGAAAATACAAAGAATAGTTCAGCAAAGTGACTAAGAATAATAATCATGTTCTCTACAACCTTGTGCTATCAGCAGAACTTGCATCTCACCAGCTCCCTAAGCACACAGAATACTGTATTAGCAACAAAAATTGTTACTATTCTGGGACTCATGATTATAGCAGCTTCAAAAGCCGGTCCAACCTTTTTTCCAAAATTGATATTTTATAAACCATGTTATTCACTTATGAACTAAACATAGATGGTAGGTCTGATTTTAAGAATCCCAGTTTGATTATGTTTCTTTAAAGCAGAATTTTTAAAAAAATTATTGAAACAGTCTTCAGAAGTTTGATAAGCAGCAAAAGTCATTGAGATTCATTAACATTTTTTTCTAGTTTTCCAAAATCTATATATCAGAAACTTGAAATGTTTGTCTCTGGTAAAATGCATAATTGCATTAATACTACATTTGTTTGTCTCTGGTTAATTATTCTAACAGAATAATATGCATAAGCATGCTGAAAACTGTGGATTGGCGAGGGCAAAAGTTGTTACACGCCACAAAGGAAGTAAGGGCAAAAAGAAAAGATGGAACAGCTTAAAACAGGATGTTAAGCAAGAAGGTAATCAGCTAATAAGTTAAAATTTATTCAAGTAAATTGGTATCAACCAGATACTCTAAAGCAGAGAATCTCCTCCTGTGTTTTAACTAATATTTCACAGTGAAGTTAATTTCAGTGCTAATAGAAGAAGAATGTTTCAGACACCTTTTTGTGTGTATCAGAAATATCAGTCATCTGAGTGTAGTCATTTGCTAAATTATTTGTTCTGGAGACACCATTTCTCACTAATGCAAGTTTCCTCCCACCAGGCTCCCTGACCAGTAATAGGCACAAATAAAGCACTGTTCTTTAATCAAGCAGGGTGAATGCATCATCACCTTATAGGCTGCAGTGAGGTCTCTTGTGGGGGTCTGTGGGAGTCAGCAGGCAGTAGGGATCACATTAAAAAATCCTGAGTACCATAAACCAAGCTTCTCCCATTTGTGATGCCGAATTAGAATGCTACTTAGAGTAAACTGAGCATGTCTTCATAATAAGATCATTCCCCTTTTTTTCTTGTGTTTGATCATCAGAAAAATAGTAAAAATGTTCTATTTTAAGTAGAACACCTGCCAGCTGCTCAAGCACCTCTGGTGAAGTAGTGTATCACGCTACATGGGTTTGTACTTGTTCACATTGTGAAGGTTTTGCTTGCAGTCATCAGGGCCATATAATAATTTTTTTTAAAGTTAACTTATTCTGAACTACAGTATGGTAGCCACTACAAAAAGGTACTAGCTCATTGATCCATTGGAAGCTTGTCCAATTCAACCCCTTTTTAAGCATGTGTAGACAACAATTCACTATGCTGGCAGGTGGGCTATACTGATTTCCCACACACACACACACCTTCCCCCAGTACAGTGGTTGTGGCTGAAAATTTTAAGAGAAATGGCAGTGTAGCTGCAGATCTAGCTTTGCTTGTGTTTTTGTATTTGCAATAATTATCTTGTGTAGACTCTGCTGCTGTTGTCTGCTACATGCAGACTGTGAGACTATTTTGTATATCTTCAGCTCTTGAGGTGAGAAATTCATTTTGCTGGAATTTAAATAACATCTCTACAAGCACTGGGGGAACAGAATACAACGACTTCTCATTCTGCAAGCATGACTGTCACAGATATTACACACTTAAGAACTGGATCCAAATTATTTTTTTCAACGCTGACTTAAAAGATCATAGTATCACAAGAACTTTTGACTCTTGCTTTGTGGTGTCTTTCTGGCTGATGAATAACATGCTCTGCTGCTGTTGAAAATTAATTTAAAAATTTTAAAGGAATTCCCTCTTCATCATTCCACCTTGGCTTTGAAAAGTATGTAAGTCTTCAGTTAACATTTAGGTCTCTCCTGAGTAGTAAATCATTAGTGCTACTCAGTAGCATTGATTATTGCATATTACATCTAAATTGATCCACCAAAGCTGAGGAGAAAATCCCCATGGTAACAAGGTGTCGTCCTCCAAAATTGGCGGCTTTAAAATAAAAAAATATATAGTAGTTCATTATAGAAACTGAAAATGTTTTCCCCCTCTACTTTTAGTATTTAATTCTCTAGTTGACAATTATGATATTTAATTTTTCTGCAAAGCTGTTGACCTGGGATCATTCCAAGATGTTTCCGTTGTGAACACTGAATGCTGTGCCAGTGAGATTGTTCCTGTCGAATATGGAATAGAAACAAGTACTCCGAGGGAGCAGAAAACAGAAATGACTTGTGAAATGATCCTCAACATGATGGACAAATAATACATACACAAGTTCTGATTTCCATTGTTAATGTGTACAGAATGTCAGTGTGTATACTAGTGCAAAGTCTGGAAGCACGTTATGGGAAGTAGGTATCGGTTTCTGTAAAAGTTGCTAAAAAGTTGTTAACTGAAGTTACACGGAAGCCACATGTTCTGACATGTTCACATTGGTATTAAAGGAAAAACACATTTTAAAACTAGGTCATGGAAAATGTAGGTTGAATTTATTCAATTTACTTTGCATTTTTCTTCCAGATTTAGTTACAGAATTATATACAGTTTTCAAGCAAATGTATTCTTCAGCAGCCATGTGCTTCTGTCACATCCAGATCCATGTGATCTTCTGCTTATTTGCATTTACCTCATGGTGAGCATGTTGTGAAAGGCAACATTATTTTCCTGCAAGGAATGCAGCTAGGTCTTTTCTAGGAACACTAATGATCTTAACAAATCTGTACTGCTTTAGCTTAGTTTATAGAAATCTGAGAACCATGATATGCATTTGGATACCCTGTCAGTACATTGATTATTAACTTTACAAGATATATACATTTAATCCCCTAATTTTAAGGAGGATGCTTCTTTTAAAATATAACAACCAAGCCTCAAAACTGGTCAGATTCTTCTCCCATTGAACACCAGTTTTACACAAGAGTAACTCCATTGATTTCAGTTAGAGCACTAATGATTCTTACCAGGATGGGAGGAGTATCTGACCTCTAGTTTTTAGGTTGATGGACCTTTAAAACCACTTTGTGCTATAGTATAGTGTGTCAGGTGGCCTATGATTGAATGTAGCAATTTTCATTTTCTTAAAATTTGCTTTTTGAATAGCTGTCTTTCATGTAACTACTTGCATATGACTTTAAGAAAGGGTTTATATTTAGGACATGATCCAAAGCATATGAAGGTCATTTGAAAGATAGACTTAAAGCTTTTTGGTTCAGACCTCTAATGTATACTTCTGTTTAAAAAAATATGAAAAGTATTTTATCAGTGTTCATGGGACATATGTAAAAAGAAATGAAATTCGAGTAATTCTAGCCTTTTACCAATTTGTAGGAATCACCACTTTTATACCAGTTTTATTTCTTAATCTTCATGACAGTTGGAAATAGTACCATTCGTGGTGGTGGTTGTTTACAGTGAGCACAATCAATTTTTGCAATTTTCATTTTTACTTTCATTCACAAATAATATTTGAAAGTATGCTCAAAATATCAAATATATACTTATATTTTCAGTGAAAACATGCTTTTTTATGCTTTTTAAAACTGACAAGTCATAATGAACAATTTTTATTTTAATAAAAACTCAACATAGATTTAATTTTTGGACGTGGAGTATGTTATATATTTGCATTGTTTTTATGAACATTACAAATCCTGCTGTCTTTGTTCAATCAAAAGATCAGCAAGGATTTTGCCTGAGGAGAAATGCAGAATTTGGTTCACTTTAGGTTTTTAATTACCCTTTTAATAGTGCTTTTGTAGCTATAACAGTAAGATTCTTTTGTGTTCTATACATTCCAAGTTAATGGAGTTTAAGTATTCACATCTGAAAGAACTTTTACATGTTCTGTTATTTTTAAGAGGTTTATAAATGCATGTTTATTTTCAATTAATATACTATTAAGAACTTTATCTCAACCTTTACAAGGTAGGTTTAAAACAACTAGATAGTTTGTAGTAGTTGCACAACTGCAAAATAAGGCCAATCCCGTGATGTGCTGAAATCCAACTATCATTGAAGGTGGTGAAGCAATCTTGTCTCTTGCGGGCTAACATAGAGGAGTTCCAGGTGGTTTGCAATTTTCCAAAGGCAATTGTCCTTTCAGACCAAATTATCCAGGTTAACGAGATACAGCGTGATACATGCTACGACAGGACAGGAGTCAGGCCTTAGACAACTACTGATAAAACTACTTATGATGATAGTTTTGATAATGCAGTGTGATACCCATCCAGTTTTGTAGTGTAAGTAATTTACAATCATTGGGAAGGTGGTGTATTTGAATCAACTGACCTTGCTAGTTTGTTTAACCCTCATTCCATAATGACAGTGTTATGTGGCTGTTCAAATTCTTAGTCTTTATTCATATTTTGTGGCAGTTTGCTTAATGGTGTTTACTTAGATTTTAAGAATGGTTTTCTTTCTGTTATGAAAGTTTGAATGTTAGTGTTGGCCTAGCAAACAATATCATTAATATTCTTAATCTGAAAATCAGAATATTGGTTTCTTTGTTTCAGATTTAAAACATTTTTTGTGTAAACATTTCACCATTTTCTGTGTATAGACTGTTTATTTTGAATCAGAGTAATTTGGCTTTCTTTTTATTCTAAGCCAGAAAATCAGACTGTTTGAAATAAAAGATTTTTTTCTCATTTGTGAACTCAGAGTAGTTGTTTAAACCATTTAGAAATTGAAAGTGATATATGCTTTTGAAGATTGAAAGATAATGAGGAGTCAGCTCCCAATTGAAGTCTTTTACCATACAACCAAATTCTCCACTTTTCAATGAAATCAGTACATTAGGTACATTTGTGTCTGTGTCTTGAATCAGGTTATGACTAACATTTTACAAAATGCTAGTTTTGAGGATATCTGATCAAAAAGCTATACCTTAAAATATGGAATTTAAGACTATATGGATATAATTAAATATTGAGAAATAAGATTCCAGTTGTAATCCTAAGAAGTTAAATAGATCAATGACATTTAAGACGTTAAAGAAAAAAATATTTTTAAAGTTGACTGTAATGTTTTAAGGGTTTAAATGTTGCCTTGTATTTCTTTATTTTGGGGTAGTCTCAAAGAGCTATTGAGAAAATTTGTGCTGTCACCAGATTTTTACATAAAGGGCCTAATTGTCAGTTACCTCTAAGTTTACATTTGCAGTTGTGTAATTGCAATCCCTTTGGTGGAAATGGTAGAATTTAAATGGTAGTTATTTGATATTTCAGTTCCAGATGTGTGCATCTGCAAATCAAGTATTTAACGAAATACATTTTATTATTCCCCCAGAATTAACGACTATTTTCAGGCTACTTTAAAATGCACTCTAAAAAGCACCCAGACTTTTTCTGCATCTGTCTCAACAAAAAAATTGGAAAGACGTTGGGAGATACTTTTACAAAGGGAAAAGTATTTTGTTAGAGGTTTTATAATTTTTTATTTTGTTGGAAATGATTCATGCACCAATATTAAAAATGCTAATGCCCTACTTTCACAATGCAACGTGACTAAGCATCAGAAAAATAACTTTATAGTTCTAAATGTGAAGGCACCACCTAGCTTCAAACAGTAGTAATAAACAGGCTGTCCTCACTGTAAGTCCAAGATATGTTCCAAAAAACTTGTATTTATAGCAAAACAATTCAAAGTGGGGAATTTTTTTTCCAGCAACTGACTTCCGTTTGTGCAAATTGTTTTGGGCTTTTTTATTTTGCACAACTTAAGAGTGGGGAATGGGAGGACTTGTAACACATCATTTCCTACAAGAGTGCAGAACGGATGTATACTGAGGTGACACAAAGCAGAGATGCCCTATATAAGATTTCTATGTAAGAGAGGGGAAAGGTTTAGCTGTTTTACCCACAAACGGGCTAATTTTCCATTTAAATGGTTGATGGTTTCTATGCATGCATGTACAATACATATCCAATAAACTAAGGACAACAGGCAGTTAAAAGAAGGTGTGTCAATGTTACATTTTATGCTTTGTGGTCAGATGAGCTTTAACATATGAAATATGAGGCAGAAAAAATAACAAAATGTGGAACTGACCATCAGACTTGAAATTTTCCCTGAACAGATGTAAAAGCCATTTCAAATGATGCATGAAAAACTACCCAATTCTGCTATCAGAAAAATTACAGGTTGGGGATGTCTCTGTTTGAAAATGTGAACAGTATCTTGCACAACAGGGATGAGTTAAGCACTGTGCTGTGTATTGGCACTGTGATGGCAGTAATAATGTTTTCCTTAAGATGGCAGTCTAGGTTCACTTGTGTTTGGTCACTCACTAGGTGAAGCTCTTAATCAGGTAATAGGGTTCTTTTCCATTTTTAAGTTGGTTAAATAGTATATAATGCGGGAGATTTTAGTATCTGTTAAAGCTGCAGTAGGAATTCTTTGTGGCATTTTGCCTTCAGCACACACACTAATTCCAAGTTACTCTAGAAAGTGTGTTCACTACATGACCCTTGGAAAGAATGTGGAAGGCATAACTCACATATGCTCCCACTGAAGAGCTTGTAGTAGTATTCGACACTTGCCAACAAGGACTTAACAAGAATTTGAACTATCTCACCCATTACCAAGACAGTTTCCCCAATTATCACCTGTAATACCATTAACTCACAAACATCCCACTCTCCCTACCTTTAATATCAGCAATTCACAGACACTTACCTTCCTTCCTCCCCCTTCCCACCCCCCCGCCTCCTCCTTCTGTTCTGCAATGTGATTTGTCCTTTTCATATTTGTTCTTTTTTTTAATTGTATCCTTTGGTATATATGGTTGTGACTACTTTCTTCCACTATTTGATCTGAGGAAGTGGGTCTGGCCCACGAAAGCTCATCATCTAATAAACCATCTTGTTAGTCTTTAAAGTGCTACATTGTCCTGCATTTTGCTTGTAGTAGTATGAGTGCTGGACCTGTCCTTGAACAAAGGAGAGCACCCTTTTTACCACTGTGCTGGATATCTGAATGAGTGCAAAGGGGGAAAACATGTAGACTTCCCTTGCTCTTAGGTGTTCACGTCACATCCCAAAGAATGTATGTACTGTAAAATTATTTGTAACTAGTAAGCAGTGAGATAGTTAAACTGTGAAACTCATTGCTTCAGTATCACAGAAATAAAGAACGTACTAGGATTTTAAAAAGAATATGGGTAATGAGTTATTAAGATGTATAACGGATTTAAACTCTGTAAGTGATCAGGTTATTCCATAATGGTCCATTATGTGATTTCTTGCATATTGGGTATGGCAGTTGATGATGAGAAACCTAACTAAATGGAGTCTGTTTAATTCAGTGCATCAATTCTTACATTCCTATACTTACTAAGACTTAGTAACACTCAATATTGTAAAAATATGGAGAGCCTAATTCCTAATTGTAGAATTCAGATGACTTCTGTGCAATCACATTGATGTAAAATTAAAGTAATGCAGATATTCTGTGGTTAAAGCACACCATTAGAATTTGTTTTACACCTAGAATGAAAATGTAATCTATGTATGTCCAAGACTCTTCACTTTAACAACTGCATTTCAAGGATCCATTTTAGAAATCTTTGAAATCAGCCATAAACTATTGTTTTACATATCTTCTCTTGGCCACCATGGGATTTCCATGCATAGCATGATTATCTAGGGTTTTAATATAACATTTTATATTAATTCAAAACTCGTATTTAGTGTTATATTAAGTAATGAAGAAGTAGCTTTGTTTTAGTCCCCAGTAGTTAGGTCTTTTAATGCTGACAAATATCACACAATTAAACATGATTGACTTTTTTTTTAAAGGAACCCAGAACTGGACAGGAATATGACATATTTAAATATTGAAATTACTTAAAATGAAACCTTGTAATTTATTACAATTGTGAACCTGTTTTACCTATTTTTCATAAGAATTTATTCTAACAAAGAAATAATATTTAGCATTTATTTATTGTTCATTCAGCGCCTTGCAGAAGTAAAACATTAATTAATCCTCACACAAGCCCTGAGCTCTAGGTAGTGCTGAGTTGACCTTTTGGCCAGTGAGAAAGTCTTAAATTGTCTATCACAGGTACAGGTGGATCATTTTAACATGTTTAAAAAAACCATAAAACTGTGGTTGAAAGCGAGAACAGAACAAAGGCAAATAAACGATACAAGCTAATTTTATCAGAACTAAGAAGACTGTTAACTAGAGTTCAGTGTTACAAACAAAGAACCAGTTTTGTTATAGCAACAGACCTTACAGAGAGGTGAAGTGTACACATCAACCATTAACTACTTGTTTTGATTTGAGTGTTTTGGATGGGGACAGTGTTGCTACCTCTGTTTATTTTCTGTGGAGTACTTGGCACACTACTCTGCACATAATGTGAGAATGGAGTATCATCAGTATTGCCGCATGTGAGAATGCAGGGTTTTACCATCAGCACTTTTTCCTAAACCTAAAAGATATCCAGACTAGCTGAGGAGAGGGAATCGAGTGAGATTCATCTCCATGACTGAGCCCTGAGCAACACCTGAGATGTGAATCTAAGGTTCCTGCTACCATCTACTATGCATGTCAGTTTCCTTCCATATTTTATACCTCATACATCTTTCCTGTCTCTCATTTTTTGGCTATCTATTTTATTGACAGTCTGGCTTAGCCAGACAGGTTCAGTGCAGAACTTTGCTGGAATTCCTCTGGTATCTAAAAGTGATGCTGTATGTTGTGCTTATAGTTGTCTGATAACTAAAATACAGCACAAGAAAATACACTGCATTTTTTGTATCCTTTTGTTCTTCATTGTCCAGCTCCCTTTGTGTATATTTGTCTCTTTTTTGCAGAAGAACAAACTTGGGAAAGAACCAGATTTCCCCAAGATTGCTATAGCAGATCTAGCTGTCTTGGCTATAAAAATGCTAGAAGCCTCTCTTTACATTAGTATTCCCACTGTTGCTTGCATGAGTGGAGTTGCTACCATACTAGAACAGTGGTGGAAAAACTCCCAAAATCTTACCTTCACATGGATAGGTAAGATTCTCTGAAATACACACACGATTGTTTTCCCTTTGAATTATGTCTGTACAGAAAGAGAGGGTATGTCTACACTACATCGCTAATTCGAACTAGTGGGGTAATGTAGGCATACCACACTTGCAAATGAAGCCCGGGATTTGAATTTCCCGGGCTTCATTTGCATAAGCTAGGTGCCGCCATTTTTAAATCATGGCTAGTTCAAACCCCGTGCCGCGCGGCTACACGCGGCACAGAGTAGCTAGTTCGGATTAGGCTTCCTAATCCGAACTAGCTGTACTCCTCATTCCACGAGGAGTACATGCCCTCTCCATGGTGCCATAAGCAAAACCAAATGTCTGACAAATAAAACTCAGACCCAAATTACTGCTAAAGTGGAAATTAAAAAGGTAATAACTGGAGTGATATCAAAATGATAATCTGAAGATCCTATCCAACCTGTACTACATGTTATCTGAGTCGTACAAATGAGAGTGAGAGAGAAGAATTTGGCATACAGAGGTAGACTAGCTCAAGTCACAACAATGGGATGGCTGGGATTAACATGCAGAATTATCTGGCTATCCTGGGCTTAGTCCACTAGAGCAAATTGCCCCTTAAAAGACTTAGTTGATTATATTGTAAATTGTGTGTTTTGCCACATGATAACCCCACAAGATTAGAAATAGAAACTCACAAGTGTTGCGAGTCAGCATGATTAGGGGGCTGGAGCACATGACCTACGAGGAGAGTCTGAGGGAGTTGGGTCTATTTAGTCTGCAGAAGAGAATAGTGAGGGGGGATTTGATAGCAGCCTTCAACTTCCTGAAGGGAGGTTCCAAAGAGGCTGGAGAAAGGCTGTTCACAGTAGTGATGGATGGCAGAACAAGGAAAAGAATGGTTACTTACCTGTAACTGTTGTTCTTCAAGATGTGTTGCTCATGTCCATTCGAAGTAGGTGTGCGCTCCGCGTGCACCACATCTTCCAGAGCGTTTTCCCTAGCAGTACCCATAGCGCTGGCGGGACGCCCTCTGGAGTGGCGCCGCCATGGTGGGGCACAAGTACCCCCGCCGGCGCTGCCCCACCTCAGTTCCTTCTCGCCGGGTACTCTGACGAAGGGGAGGTAGGGTGGGAGTCGAATGGACATGAGCAACACATCTTGAAGAACAACAGTTACAGGTAAATAACCGTTCTTCTTCGAGTGCTTGCTCATGTCCATTCGAAGTAGGTGACTACCAAGCTAACCCCATGGAGGAGGGGTCGGAATAGTCATAGCATCAGTCATAAAGGAAGGTGAACAATAAACAGATTTATTTGAACAATTCAACACTGACAAGGCACCAACTAAGAACAAAGACAACCGAATATATATATAAATATTTACATCACAGATTCGAGGACTGCAGAGCCC